GTTTACATTGTCCTTAGTGCGTTGATATCTGAATTTACGAAATCTATGTTATTATACGATGAGTTGACTTCCCTAGTGTACTAGTTTTAGTTAAGTATTTTCAAATTTTGACATCACGGTTTATATATTAATATTGTATCTGAATATTATTGTTTGTAGAGTTTTGATATATACTTTTCATAAAAAAAAAACTAGACAATTGCAAAAATAGTCCTTGTGGTATGCATTTTTTTGGGGTTTTAGTCCAAATCCCAACTTTTTTGGCTTAGCTAGTTTGATTGCTTTTTTGGTCCCTCTGAATAGTGAAATGAGTTATTTATTTTTCATTTCTTTCATTTTTATAAAAATCTAAACACTTATTTATTTATTTAACTAATTAAAAAATAAAAGTCTCTCTCGTGTTTTTTCAGTCCGAATCAGAAACCCTAAAGCAATTTATTTTAATCAATCGCCTCCAATGATTCATCTGTTGAGAAAGGAAATAGGAGAACGAGGGAAGCTTATGCTGCCGACGATGGGAAAAGGGAACTCCGGTCTTTGGTTTTCATCTGATCGAGAAGGATAATCACGAACGAGGCAGTGACAGGGAAGGCTCGGTGGTGAAAGACCCTTTGAGAAGAAGAGCACCTCCGGTGCCTTATTGGTTTGTAGCTGGGGAGTAAGGAAAGCAATAAGGGCTGCTTAAGCAGCTCCTGCGCTTCTTCTGTCTCGGAAGGAAGGTGCAAAGGTGGGGAATCAAAAGGGGGTTTCCGCCTCTGATGTTTGCTCTGGGGAAACACCCACTTCGGTGGTGGGTTCAGGACAGGGAACGAAGAAAAAATGGAGGATGAAAGGGGGAAAGGCAGCAGCGATCGCAACAATCTTCAGGGGGAGGGGAGTTCATGAGATTCATTTTGCTCCAGAGAAAAGATCTTCAAAGAAAGAGCAAAAAACTCACTGGAAGTAGTTGCAGGTTTTAGAGTGGAATCCATAATCTGGGCCTGAACACGTCGTTTAGTTGAAGCCCTGTTCTTATCACATCGCTATTGAAGATTGGTTTGGACTTGATTTTGCTTCAGTTGCGCATTAAATCCTGATCTGAACTCCATTAGTGCAGCGATGGAGAATTTTAGGGTGTTTCTGTGACTACTCTGGCAGGTGATTTGAGAAGAAAAACAGAGGTGTGCACTTGCACCGGGTCTGAGTATTGTTATTGATAGAATTTTCCGTAACCCTCTCTCATTCAATGAAACTAATATATATATATATATATATATATATATATATATATATATATATATATACACAAAGTGTACATAGGTATAGAAAATGGGCCACGGCACACATGGGCTGGCCATAATAATGAAACATAAATAAACTAATAAGGCTACGTTAACAAAACCCCACAGTTTGAACAGGGAGAAAAATCACGGACGTTCAAACTGGACCGGAAATCAAGAAACAATGATGAGGGAAGACTCTTTGTAAAAATATCCGCATACTGAGAGGAAGATGGAACATGTAGAACACGAACATGTCCGCTGGCAACTTTGTCTCGAACAAAGTGCAAATCAATTTCAATATGTTTCGTACGTTGATGTTGAACCGGATTAGATGACATATAAACAGCGCTAACATTATCACAGTAGATAATGATAGCTTTGTCCGGCACATAGTGAAGTTCAATAAGAAGATTACGAAGCCAACAAGTTTCCGCCACAGCATTAGCAACACCCCGATATTCAGCTTCGGCACTGGACCGCGAAGTCGTGTTCTGACGTTTGGATGACCAAGAGAAAAGATTGTGTCCTAAAAAGACACAGTAACCCGATGTAGATCGACGCATGACAGGGCACCCACCCCAGTCAGCATCAGAATAGGCAGTAAGCGAGCGACTGGGAAAGGTAAATAACTAAAGACCATGAGATGTGGTACCTTTAATATAGCGCAGGATGCGCTTAAGAGTAGTAAAATGAGGTTCCCGCGGGTCATACATGTATAAACAAATCTGATGAACCGCATAAGTGATATCAGGTCGAGTGAATGTCAAATATTGTAACGCGCCTGCCAAACTGCGATATAAGGTAGGATCAGCAACAGGAGTACCAGTGCCATCAAGCTTAGATGATAAGTCAGCCGGAGTAAATGCAAATTTACAGTTGATCATGGAAGCCCTGTCAAGAATCTCAATAGCATATTGTTGCTGAGATAAAAACAACCCATCAGCCGAGCGAGTGGCCGAGATGCCCAAAAAATAGTGGAGATCCCCAAGATCCGAATAGAAAACTCAGTGCTCAATAGAGAAGTAATGTGAGACAGAAGCTAAGTCGATGAGCCTGTAAGGACAATATCATCCACATATAGTAACATATATGCCACGTGAGTACCATGTCGATAAATAAATAAAGAGGAGTCACATCTGTTGTGAACAAAACCAATGCTATAAATAAAGGTGGCAAACCGTTGAAACCACGCACGCGGTGCTTGCTTGAGACCATATAAGGACCGCTGAAGTAGACAAACATAGTCAGGACGAGAGGGATCACGAAAACCCGGAGGCTGATGCATATAGACTGTTTCTTAAAGATTACCATGTAGGAACGCATATTTAACATCAAGTTGTCGAATAGGCCACTGATGCGTAACAGCAATACTAAGAACTGTACGGATGGTAGCAGGCTTGACCACCGGACTAAAAGTCTCGTCACAATCAATACCAGGTCGCTGACTACGACCATTAGCTACAAGACGCGCTTTATAGCGTGATAAGGAGCCATCTGCATTGAGTTTCTTCTTGAATAACCAAATACAATTAACAATGTTAGCATCAGGTGGTCTTGGAATAAGTACCCAAGTCTGATTAGAGATAAGTGCAGTATATTCATCTGTCATGGCATTAAGCCAATTTGGATCCTTAAAAGCCTGTAAATAATTTTTGGGGACAGGAGAGGAGGTATCAACATGTAAATTTAATTTACGGATGGGTTTAAAAATACCCTGTTGCTACGAATGAGCATTGGGTGTGAAGGAGGAGGTATAGGAGAGGGACTGTTATTGGAGATGGTATATGACTGTGAGGTGGGTTCCGAAGGAGGAGAGGTAGGTGGTGAAGAAGGACCAGGTGTGGGGGTGGCATGAGGAACAGTTGAGGGCGAGAGAGGAGTGTGAGGAGTGGGCAGAGGAGTCGGTATAGGACCGGGAGTAGTACTAACATTCTCAGTTGATGTATTCTGAGGATGAGAAAGGTATGGAGTTAAGGTAGTAGATAGAGGATGGGAAGATGAAGGATCCTCCAAAAAAGTGTAAGAAGGAGCTTGGTTAGGTGTCATCGAACCAAAAGGAAGGATGGTTTCATCAAAGACAACATGACGGGAGATGATGATCTTATTGGTGTCAAGGTTAAGACAACGGTATCCTCTATGATGGATAGGATACCCAAGAAAGATGCATGGAGTTGAGCGCGAGTCAATTTTATGAGAGGCATTGATATGAGGATAACAAAGACATCCAAATACACAAAGGTGATCATAGGAGGGGTGCTTATTATATAGTTTATAGAACGGAGTGACATTGTGGAGAGTAGTAGAAGGAAGGATATTAAGGAGATGAGCAGCCATATGGAGGGCTTCAGTCCAGAATGTGGGAAGAAGCCGAGCATGGAACAAAAGAGTACGACTGGTATTATTTAAGGTGCGTAGCATGCGTTCGGCTTTTCCGTTTTGTTGAGAGGTGTAAGGACATGAAAAACGAAAACGAATGCCGTTTTGAGAAAAAAGGGTGTAAATTTTATGATTGTCGTACTCACTACCATTGTCACATTGAAAAGACTTTATGGTTGTTTGAAAATGGTTATGAACAAAATTTTTAAATTGCACGAATTTGTGAAACACATCAGATTTGGAACGGATAGGATAAACCCAAACATAATGAGAAAAATCATCTAAAAAAATAACATAATATTTAATACCACTCAAACTGTCAATGGGAGATGTCCATACATCAGAATGAATTAATTCAAACGGAAACTGAGAAACAGAACTAGAAGCGCTAAATGGTAATTGACTTGTTTACCCAATTGACATGCATGACACAAAGTCGAGTCTTTATTAGGAGAACATGAAATAAAACGATTCTGAACCAGGTGCTTCATGACATGTTGACCAGGATGACCAAGACGTTGATGCCAAACAGACGGAGCAAGGGAGACGAAAGCTTGAGAATTTGAAGAAGTGACAGGATAAAGAGCCCCAGTGCTATCACATCGGATGAGAATTTGTTTGGTGCGAAAATCCTTCACAACAAACCCAAAAGAGTCAAATTCAATAGAACAATTATTTTCACGTACAAAACGACGAACATAAATCAGATTTTTAATAATAGAAGGAGTAATTAAAACGTTTCGAAGAGTTAAAGTGCGATAGGGATTGGGAAGCGGAAGGGTAGTGTGTCCCATTTTTGTTACAGGTATGAAGGATCCATCACCAACTAAGACAAATGAAAAATTACTGGATTTATCTGAAACAGACTTAAGTATACCTGCATTCGAGTGAAGATGTGAGGTAGCCCCAGTGTCCATGTACCAATCGGCTTGCCCCGGGTCGTTCAACGTCATGGTATTAAACATTTGCGGAAGAGGAGTGGGCTCCGAATATTGGGTTTGAGTGGAATAGGCATGTGGTTGAGAAGATAACTGTTGGGCCGGCGAAAAAAATTGATGCTGTTGATTTGTATTCGAATGGGCTGGCTGAGATCGTGGCCCACTTGTGTGAGGGAAATGATCATTTGGGCTTGGCAATATTCCATGGGAGTTGGGTCCATTAGTAAAGTGGGGAGTGTAGGTCCAGACCCAAGTTCCTTGACGAGGACGCTGATTATCGAAGGGAAAGGTACTGCCGCCGAGAGCTTGATTCGCACTAGAGAGAGTGTGATTCCGGCCACCGCCATGAGACTGCCCACCGCCATTGCTTCTCCCGCCGAAGCGTCCTCCACCTCGGCCACCACGGCGGCCATTGCGACCCCCACGGTAGCCACCCCTGCCACCGGTGTTGTTCTGCTGCCATGAAGAAGGGTTGTTTGAGGAGGTCTGCACAGTTAGGGCATGGGGGGATGACGAATTGTCGGCATGAGTGATTACAGAATCACGTTTTTCATCTTGAATCATTTGTTGTTCTTCACATAATAGGATGGATCTAGCATCCCAGAACGATGGAGGTGGTTCACGGTGTCGGAGGTTAATTGCGATATACCGGAACTTGGAAGACATGCCATTAACCATGTATGCGACAAGGTTAGTTTCAGAAACTTTAGCATCCATGTGTTCTAATTGATCAACAATAGATTTGATTCTGTTACAGTAATCTGTGATGGAAGAATTACCAAGAGAGATGTTTTTGAGTTCTCGATCTAACTGAATGATCTTGGATGCTTTGTTATCACGAAAAACCCTTTCAAGATTTTCCCAAACTTCATAGGTTGTTGCCTGCTTCTTGAAAATCATGTTGAGAAGAGGTACGGAGAGTGTACCATATAACCATGATCTCACGATGGAGTCCACACGAAGCCAAGAAGTTTTCGCAGCAGAAGATGCTTCAGCAGTTTTCTCTTTATCTTTATCGCCTGATGCAGTGACAGGAGGCTGAAGATGGTCATCTACACCATACCCAATACAGTGATGTTCAAATAATCCTCTCCAAATGTCATAGTTCATCTGATCCAAGTCCAGAACAAAGGGAACTGCGTGCTTGATATTGATTGTTGATGAAGGCTTGTCATTCATGGGTAGAGACAAGATGAGGAGAAGAAGAAACGAAGACAGATAGAGAAAGAATGAAGATGAGAGATCAAACAGTCAACAAGGAATGAGATGTCGACTTAGGGTTGAAGGGTAATAAGGTAATACGCTCTGATACCATGTTATTGATAGAATTTCCCGTAACCCTCTCTCATTCAATGAAACAATATATATATACAAAGTGTACATAGGTATAGAAAATGGGCCACAGCACACATGGGCTGGCCATAATAATGAAACATAAATAAACTAATAAGGCTACGTTAACAATATTCAGAAGCAAAAGGGCAAAAGGACGTTGATGTTTCGTTTGCGATTTCATTTGATACAGAGCCACCGTTCTCCTTGTATGTTTCCCCAAGGTTGTTTCGGTGAACAAGCACATAACGGCGATGGGTTTGGGTAGCTCAACTCTAGGCAGCGATTGACCTGGAGGTTCTCCAGGGTTGTGTGAACGGGATCTTGATGCCAAATCCATAGTTGGGAAGATTAAAAATTGAGAGAGAGAGAGAGAGAGAGAGAGAGAGAGAGTAAATATTAAATTTTTTAAAAAAATGAAAGAAAAATGAAAATTAAATATCCCAAGGGTATTATAGTCATTTCAATTTTCGGAGGCACTATTTTCACATACAAACTAGTCCAAAAGGACCACGAAGCCAAAAAAGTCGTGATTTGGACTAAAACCCCAAAAAAATGCATACCATAGGGACCATTTTTGCAATTTTGTCAAAAAAAACTATTTCAAAACTAAGTTTTGAAGATAATGTTTATTTTAAAAACTTCTCAAAAGGATGGTCGGATTGTTATCTGCAATGAGAGAAAGTGTTTATTTTGGTGAATATCCCAAAAAAAAATCCACTCCATTTATATACACCAAAGTTGTATGGACTGAACCTGATAGCTTGTTATACTAAGAGGGTTGAAACTGACGTTTTCTGTATTGGATAGTATCTAAGTGCACTATTTCAAAATGGAACTAAATACTTAAAACATTTGGCCCGCCAAAGTACTATTCAGTCGATTGATCCATCCAAAGTTTTCAAATTAAGCATTGTCATCGATTGTTTTCACTTAGAAATTTAGATTCATGACTGAACAGAATTTTATTGTTTTGTATTTGTGATTGTCGATTCTGTATGGTGTGATTCTGTTGCAATTTACAGGAAAAATGACGCAAGATGCTGGAATGAAAGAGCAACAGGTTCCGGCGTCGCCTTCTAGCTCTCTTTCATCTATGTCTCATGGCATTTTACAGCGTAAGAATCTCTGTAATTTTGATTCCGATGATTGTTTTGTTTGATTATACAGTTCGTTTCTAGATGAACTTGATTTAATTTCTTTGTTGCGGAACAATTGATGTTATAAAATGTGTGCGTTTACTCTACCAACATCGTTTGTTTTTATTTACTGATTAGAGTTGAAATTTCGAATTCTTCATGGAAATCATGTGAAAATTGGCTTTCAGATTTTAAAAAAAGAGTTGTTGAACTGATTGAGAGCGGAGCTTACACTGGTAAAGTTCGTTGGATTTTGAGAGCCGTTAGCATTACAATCGCGTTAAGATGGCGGTTAAAAGTTTCTGTGATCTATCCGTTCCTTAATTTTGCCCTTACACCTGGATCGGAAGCACACTCTCGTTTAATTTCATCTCTTCCAAAGGTAGGTTACTTTTTGGCTTTGTGAATCTCGATGTTTAATAAACTTCCATTCAATTAGTCATCTATTCTAGCGTTAATGATGTAGCAAACGTGGAAAAAGCTAGGAGGCACATAATTAAGCATCTCTTTCGTGAATTTCCTTGACACTATGTTATATATTTGCAATGTACAGCCCATAGTAATGTGGAACTTGATTTCAAATACTTGTTGGTGAAATTGAAAACAAAATGATCTAAATGACATAAACATTTTCATTTGGTTTGATATATTATAGGATGACGCTCATGAGATGGAAGTTGATACTGCATCATCTGCAACTCAAGGTACTGTTAATCACTCCCATGAGATGGAGATCTACTGCTACTTCTTTGTGCTGATATTCCTAATTGATCAGAAAAAGTACACTGAGGTGAGCATATATGTTTAGATTACTTCATCTTGGCAATTGGTCAATTGGTCAACTCACCTTCATATTATGCAGGCTAAGGCTTGTTCTTCAGCAGGCATTGCCAGTTTGAAAAACATGAACAGAAGAACAGTTGATGTTCTGGCATCCAGACTCTACTTCTATTACTCTCTTTGTCATGAACTTAGCAACAGTCTCTCTGAAATTCGTGGGTGAGTGACAAAAGGGTTATGTTTTTCAATTATCAACTAGATTGTGATCACTTTTTCTTTATCAATTTATCCGACTTGATTAAGATGATGATGATGATGTTTACATGCAGTAATCTCCTTGTTTTGCACCGGGTTGCTAGGTTGCATCATGATGAATTGGGGCAGGTTTGTTTCTCAATTTTGTTACTGTGACTAGCTATCATTATTATTAGTTTATTTATCTGTTATTGTTATTTGTATTATTAGTAATATTATTATAATCAATGTTTCTGGTGAATCATTTTGTGTTGTGTGATGTGCAGGAAAGACTCCTAAACTTGATACTTCACAATTACCTTCATTACAATTTGTATGATCAAGCAGAGAAGTTTAGATCAAAGGCACCACCTTTTTAAGGTCATTCAAATCGCCAGGTAATTCTTCATTTGATAAATCATCAATTCATCCTTTCAAAGGTTCCATTTGCTAAAAGGTTTGATGTTTGCTTCATATGGAGGGTTCGATATTTGATATACAGGAGCATTTCATTATTTTATATTCGATATTTGTATTTTTTTACAGTTTTGTCGTTACCTGTTTTACCTGGGTAAAATTAGAACGATTCAACTAGAATACACAGATGCAAAGGAATCTCTTCTCCAAGCTGCCCGAAAAGCCCCTGTGGAGAGATCCCTTGGTTTCCGAGTTCAATGCAACAAGTGGGCCATCATTGTTCGTCTACTTCTTGGAGAGATTCCTGAACGAAATGTTTTTACGCAAAAAGGCATGAAGAATGCATTGAGGCCTTACTTTGACCTCACAAATGTAAGTTCACTTCACTTTAACAAACCCCAGTTCAGTTGTAACTAACTAACTAACTATCCCAATTCTGACTTTTGACTTTGACTTTGAATGGTAAAATCCATAAAGCATGGAAATTGACAAAGCTAGATTTGTTCATTTGGGAACCGAACATGTCATGGAACGGAATCTCGAATTCCAAATCCCGCGAACCAAACATGCCATTGCATTCCATGGAATCTCTAATTCCTTCCTTTCTTTCTCAGGCGGTTAGAATTGGAGCTCTGGACCTATTGAAAACTGTCGCCGAGAAATTCTCCACCACTTTCACCTCCGACCGAACCAACAACTTAATCGTAAGACTCCGCCACAACGTCATAAGAAACAGACTCCGCCACATCAGCATCTCTCTTGCTGACGTGGCAACCAAGCTCCGACTGAATCCATTAATTGCTGATGTGGAGAGCATCGTGTCAAAAGCCATCCGTGATGGTGCCATCGATGCCATGTTGGATCATTCAAACGGATGGATGGTTTCTAAGGAAACAGGAGACATCTATTCAACAAACGAACCACAAATTGCTTTTAATTCTAGAATTGCCTTCTGCTTGAATATACATAATCAGGCTGTACGTGCCCAAGACTCTTCTTAGAAGAGTAACATGTTTTCTTATTAGAATATTATGTTTTGAAACATAAATAAAAAATTGTTTTATATTTAGATAACATTGTTATAATTAGAAAAAATTTCAAAGTACAATGCTATAATAAATAAATAAATGAAAGTAGGTTGTTGTTTTCAAACATGTTAAAATTGTATTTCTAGAGGTCTTATGTTTTCTCTATGATCTTGTGTTATTGGCCTCATCTCTTATTTTAGATTACCTTTTGGGCTAAACGTAAGAAACAACAAAGTAGTTTCATTTATTGGCTTTTTTAGTGTCCTAGTTTCATTACTTCTTACTACAATACTGAACTTGCAACTTTTTATCTTATTTAGACGTTGTATTTTGTATTTTAAAAAAAAATCTACATGATTTTAGAAATGAACATTGTTTTGCATTTGATTGAAATTCTTATACTTGATAGATTCTTTAAAGTACATTGATGCATAGGAATAAATGAGAGTAGGGTGTTATAATAAACAAATAAATCAAAGTAAGTTTCATTTCGATTGTAATTTGTTGTTTTCGAAGATGTTAAAATTATATTCTTAAATGTTGAATTTTTAGGATATGATCTCATGATCGAGTGTTGTGAGATTTATCTCGTAAGCTAAATGCAAAAAGCAGCAACACATTTTCATTTATTTGGTTATTATAGTTTTCTAATTTCATTTCTTTTGTTGTACTTTCATTTTTTTTCTTTCTTAAAGACATATTACCTCAAAAAATGTATCCAATTATAGCATTGTTCTTTCAACTTTTTTCCATATTGGGACATATTTAAATTTTTTTACCCAATTATAGTAATGAGAATTGCCTTGTATTTGATTGACATTGCTGACTTTCTAAACTACGACGTTGTACATGATGAAATGAAAGTCGGATGTCAGAATAAACAAATAAATGAATTTATGTTGCTATTTCTCGCATTTTATCACATTTCATTGGAACTCTTTTATTTTGGAAGTGATAATTTTCGAAAAACATGACATACCCGTTCTCACAATCAACGACTTATCATAATAAACATTCCAAAACTTAAAAAAAAAACACTCACCATTTTGAAGGGACGCTTTAAGGTTCCTTTTAAGTTGAGGGGCTATAATGAATTAGCCCACTATGAGCGTTCGAACCACAAGTCACCTTCGATTCTCATATCGGTATCTGCGTTAATATGCATAACAAGGTCCTCGGGTCTAGCCTAACTCCCACAAGGAATAATGGAAGGATTATAGTTTGGAAGAATGGAAGGATTTTAGATAAATAAAGAAAACTTGAATGATGCGAACTCATTAAATTATCTAGTATTGTGATTTTATAACAAGAATGTTTTATTTTGAATAGGAAAAATAAAGATAGTGAGTCATAACGAGTAATCATTTATTTTAGTATGTTGGTAATTTTGATCAATTTATTTAAAGGTTAATATATTCAAATTATATTTTTCATTAATGAATCGCATGTATAAAATAAAAAGAATGATTCGTCAAGTAAGCTATAAAATATGTCAAATATTGTCTAAAATAACTTTGAATAAACATCATATGTTAAAAAAATAGCATTCTGTGTTGTTTTAATAAATAAACTAGGTGTGAAACCCATGTATTACGCGGGTTTATTAAAAGAAAGTTTTGGTAACCACAAAGACCATGTTCATAAAAAAATAAGTAACGATTGAGTGTGACCTTTTTGTAAACCGCATGAACTATTTATGTAATTTGGTCTTAATTAATCTATACTAATAAAATTAATTAATATGAATTCACAAATGGTATCTACATTAATATACATATATATTAATCAATATATTAATAGAAAGAGGAATTCAAAAATAGAAAATTATTATGTACATTAATGAATATATTTATAAAATTAATTAATATGAGGTGGCATTTAATAGGTGAGATTTGAATAAAAAATAAAAAAACTATAAAAATGACAAGTGGATATTAAATAATTCAAAAAAAATCTAGAAAATGACAAATGTCAAAATGAAGGAGAAAAGAGCATGTGACAAAATTATTATTATTTATTAGGGTAGATTTATAATGATTTTTAATATGGTGATTTTTATTAAAATCTAAAACAACAATTTACCTATTTTTATTTGGAAATCGAAATAGTCATTGTTTCTTACTAGGTCCGTTCTATCCAGAATGTATTGGAGGACTTATATCGCTTCGATGTGTTCAACTTTTGATGTAGAACCAAGACAACACTAAAAATGAGGGTTTATAAACAAATACAGAAGTATTGTTTGATTGAAGCAATGCAATGCCATGGCTTCCCACATCGGTGGCTCCAACGAAAGCTATTGGGTTTATATTGCTACGCCTTCGATAATTTTTCGTCCCTTCGGGGACATCCGATAAAATTGGAAAGATATAGAGAAGATTATCATGGCCCCTGCGCAAGGATGACACGCACAAATCGGGAAATGGTCCAAATTTTTTTACCGCTAACGGAATTCCTGTTAGATTTAATGCTAATTTTTTGCTTATCTCGCTAAAGAACTTATTGATTTCTCGTTATTTGCTGCAATTCATGAAGCCTATATGGATTAAAATGACAAACGCTATGATACATTGCTAATGAATGTAGATGAATTGTCTTAAGCTCCCTGTCTGAATAGTCTGGGTAGAATCAATTAATAATCAGGCATCAAATTTATTATACAACTTTGGTCTTTAGAGGTCGAGATGAGGGTTTTTCTTTTTCTGTTGGATGTAGTGTCTTCAATAGCTTCTGTTGGTTTCCTTTCTTCTTAATTGGAACTGGTGCAAGTTCTGGATGTATCATGTGTGTTTAATAGCAATTAACAATCACAAACTGTCTAAAGTTGCATGCTTTAATATACTTTAATGGTTTTCTTTGGTATTTCAATAAGTATTATGGTTAGTTTGGAATAAAGCTACAAATGTGATATGATAGGTTAGACACATCATTCACTCCTTAACGATAGAGGTTGGAAGTTTATAAGAGTTTTTTTTTTCGTCTTCATAGCAACAACAGCAACATGATAGCAGCATCAATCAATGATGAAGGTATGCATGATGTTTACTGACAAGTCTCTGTGTTAAGCTGTTAGTTAGTGAAGGTAGGTTAATTTTGTATGAAAAGGGGACAAAAGTATGAGTTGTTAGTTTATTAGTGCAGTAAACACACATGATAACTTTTAGGAGGGTTATGTACATCAATTTAATAATCTACCATCTTTCATGAACTTTAAAACTTAAGTGAGTCAACTAATTAAGATGACATAAGGTTAAGTTGTAGTTGTAGTGCAGCAAGGGTTCCTCTGTTACATGGGAAAGGTCTGGACCAGACAAGCTTTGTCTATATAAGTTAATAAAGAGGATGACTCTGAAAGGGCATTCATGTCTTTTACACAAACAATAGATTGAGAGTGAGTCACTACATTGTCCTATCTTATTCTACCTACTTTTTGGATGGTCCTGTTGACTTGATATGGATTGACATGGGTAAAATCAAGTGCATAATCTACAGTCTTTGCAATAATTACCATGATGACTGATGAGATTAATCTTTTAGTTGGGATTTTTACAACATTGATTGTAGCGATTTTCAACCTGGAGAAATGGTAACTAATTGCCTTTTGACTTTTTTTTTGCTTATGTGGCATTACAAATAGCAAATTGGAATTTAAGCATTACCAAGTTTTTATTTTTTTATTATTATTTTTTTGCAATAATGGGTAGAAATTCATAGGTATGTTGCTATTAATTAAAGTACATTGCCCATATTGTTAAAAAAAAGGAATAGCACATTGCTATTTCTAGCAGTTTTCTTATTTTAGAACTTAAGTTAGTAAGCCAAAACTTGCAACTGAAACATATTATGCGGACTTGAGAAGTATAGGATATAATTCGTCATTTCAGGGAGTGTGTTCAAGGTTTCATTGTACTATGGAGTGAATGAAATCTATAACAATCTTACTCAAGGTTTCATTGCCAATTAATCATTGTACTACGCAAAACAAATATTAATACATGCTAATTTGAGGTATTGTAAGCTTTATAACCATTTTGTATCATTTGAGAAATGCCTAAAATCGCCTACTCAATAACATATTTAGTGTTTTTGTGTGTATTGTAACAAGCAACGACAATAAAGGTTAATTTGCAAAGAGGAAGTTGATTGTCGCAGAAGATAAAAAGAGGAAGTTGAAAGTGCTAATGGTCGGATCTTGAAGGACTATTGAGGGATTGAATCTGGAAGTTTATGAAATTATATAATGTGAAAGTTAAAAAAGAATTATTTTAATAGAATGTTCTCTAATCACCACAATGTCATACACATCATGCAAACAAGACAGAATCTAGATACAATGCACTAACAATTGATGCAACACATGAATGTAAGAAATAAATCACCATCCAAAGTAGTTATATTATAACAACGATAGTTAAAAGTGGATTTGATTTTGATGTTATGTTGTTGGAGTCCTTTACCCCATTCACCATCCGCTTAATGTCTCTTTTCAAATTTACAAGAGAGGGATGCTGCTGCAACAGTCGATAGGTGCTACCCAAACAAGACTATCAAAATACTCGCATAATTTAGCTGAGTAAATTCTCAACCAATTGAACCAACAACTTAATTGTGTGACTCCACAACATCAACGTCTTCTACTTTTGTTTCTTTATATTGCATCATATTTTCAATTTGTTTTTCTTATCAAAGCATGGTTAAACAAGTAATAACAAGAAAAATCTACTTGTATTTGGTAACGACATTGCTATATATATAGTCGGATACATTTCTCAAAGTGTAAATGAAATTTAGGATGTTATTATGTCAACAAATATAATAAAGTCTATTGCTATTTCTTAAATTTAATTCTCGCCTTTTTAGCCCATTTCACATCTTATTGAAATTCTTATATTCTGATAGCGGTAATTTATTCAACAAATAAACCTCAAATCACTACTAATTCTAGAGGTGCATTCCCCTTGTGGCATTGTATTATCAATTTTTTTTTCTTATTAGGATCTTTATTTTGAAAAGGAGACTTAATTGTTGTTTATTTTTTATTTTATTTGGATGATATTGTTGTTTTGGAACATGTAAAAACTGTACTTTTTAAGGTCTTATGTTTGGGCTATTATCTTGTAGGCTAAATGCAAGAAATAGTAACCTACGGTTATTTATTTGTTGATTATTGCATCATATTTTCATTTCTTTCGATTACAATGTGGTTTTTTTTTCACTTTTTTTTTCTTAATAAGTCATTATAGTCTGTTCCCTTATATTTACGAATGGGATCATCCTTTTTTCCGGTTTATGCTATTGTGCCCCCATTTCCTTAGTCACCCCCCTTGTGTGCAACCTCGGTGTAGCGAACACCCTAGCTACCTAGCAGTGGAGGCATGGTTGCTTATTGCATGTTATTTTCTTATCTTCCTTTGTTCCTTTGTTGGCTCGTGTTTTAATTTTAAAGGGAGCATATGAAAGAAGCATTTTCACCCTTGGATGTAGGTCGTCCTTGTAATCTCCCATCTCTTACAAAAATTTATGAGATTTTTTTTGGTTTTGTTGTTGTATTAGAAATTTAATATAGCTTTATATATACAATTCGATATTGTCGAAACGATTGTTTTCACACTAAAAGCATAAAATGAACCATTTAAGATTTTAAGTTTGGTATGTGACCTAATTTTTTGGTTATTGTTTGTTTAACCATGACAAACAGTGCATACTTCTTACTACAAAGTGTGTGGCTGCTTTTGGTTTTTTTAATTTTACCTTGTTTTTAAGATGGCTTTTTATTACATATTATTAAGTGCTGTGAAAACATCAAAAGGATTATAGTTTACAAGAATTGAAGGATTTGAGGTCAATAGATAAAACATATTTAATTTTTCTATATTGTTTTTCATGTACAACAAGCATGATTTATTTTAGGGAAAATGATACATATAGCCTACGAACTTTTTAGGGTTTACCCTTTTAGTCACTAAAATTTTTTTATGACTTTATAAAGAAACTAAGTTGTGGGTAACCTGTTCTTTTAGACTATTTACTTGTTTTAGCCGGTTTGGATAATAGATAGACAAAATTGCAAAAATGGTCCCTGTGGTATGCATTTTTTTTGGGGTTTCAGTCCAAACCTCGACTCTTTTGGATTCATAGTCCTTTTGGTCTAGTTTGTACGTAGAAATGGTCCCTCGACTTAACTTCCGTTAAGTTATTGCTGTTAACCCCCTCATGTGCATCTCACATGAGGGTATATTTGTCTTTTCACATATAAATGACCATTTTTGCACCTAAAAAATATATCTTTTTTTTTTTAAAATAAAAATTAATACCTAATTATTTATTTTAATAATTAAAAAATAAAAAAAGTTTCTCTCTCTCTCTCTCTCTCTCTCTCTCTCCACCCAAAATACAGAAAACCAAACCTGCGATGGTGGGTTGTATTTGAACTTATGAAATCGAAAATCAACTTCAATTAGAGAATTGAACATTCAGCTTCAACCAGAAAATCAAGTTCAAAAACCAAAAATCAAGTTCTGAAATTAAAAATCAACCAGGAAGCAAATATTAAAAATCTGGGTTCGAGTGGGTCCATGGTTCGATTTGCAAATAGAGACAAATCAAGCTTCGATTTGGAACCTAGGTAAACAGAGAAGAAAGGGGAGGGTTATCAGCTCTGATTTTGTTTTGAAAATCTTCGTCTTCGTCATCACCTATTCGCCTGGAAAGTTTGTCTTCTTTAAAGCTTACATAATACCCAATTAACATGAGTTGAAATTTGACAACTGGAACTGGAACTCAAAAAAAGGGGTTTTTTTGTGATCGTGTGTGCAGGTGAGAAACAAGAAGAAAGAAGATGGGTGGGGTAATTGGGTGTGTGTTGAGAGAAGATGGGTGGGGTAATTGTGTCGTTAGTCTCCGTGGATGTCGACCCATTGCCTCAACAGCAACTTCAGTAAGGAAAGATGCGAAAGGGGGAAGATGCAATGAATAACTGAAGGAGGGGGCGAGGCTGCTCCCCGGTGAGTCTCATCGTGGTTTCTTTCTCGTCATCGATAGCAACGATTCGGAAGGGAATCAGAGCAGCTGCAACAACAACGATTGAGGTGGGGTGTTTGGGGTTGTGCTTTTTCGACTGTAGGAGGGTTGCGTAGGTGTTGAACATCGATTGTATTCATCGAAAGGGTTATAGCTCCTCTTGATCTCACCGGAAACAGCCATCCAAGGGTGTGTTTGTTTGTTTGATGCTCGACAGGGGATTTTGGGTGATGCTTCTTCAACAATTGTGTTTGGGAAGAAGAAACGGGAAGATAGAGTGAGGAAGATGAGAGAGAGAGAGAGAGGGAGAGAGAGAGAGAGAGAGAGAGAGAGAGAGAGAGAGAGAGACTTTTTTTTTAATTATTAAAATAAATAAATAGGTATTAATTTTTATTTAAAAAAAAAAGATATATATTTTTAGGTGCAAAAATGGTCATTTATATGTGAAAAGACAAATATACCCTCATGTGAGATGCACATGAGGGGGTTAACAACAATAACTTAACGGAAGTTAAGTCGAGGGACCATTTCTACGTACAAACTAGACCAAAAGGACTATGAATCCAAAAGAGTCGAGGTTTGGACTGAAACCCCAAAAAAATGCATACCACAGGGACCATTTTTGCAATTTTGTCTAATAGATAAATCAAACTTGGGCACCACCCATCTCTCTCTCTCTCAACTTTTGAGCTATGATCATCGGTTACTTTGACATAACTCAATTTTCAGTTCGATTCATGTGCATTTTCTCCAGAAGTATGTAATCAGATTGTACAGCGTAACCCTTTGAGCATTTCTCACAAACCCACAGCTTATTATTGTTGTGTTTCCTCCGAAAGTGATTTTTCATCCCGACGAGATCTCCAAGCGCGTGACAAGGGTCATGGTGTAAACAGCTGGGTTCAAGGCACACGAAAACCCTTTTCTTCACCTCCGGTGAATCCCTTTTCAACAACTTCCATGGAACCTTGTGACGCCTACGGTGCATCTGATCTCACTGTAGCAGCAGCGGGGTGTTTGGTTGATGTTTGTTTGACAAAACAGATGGACGAGGGTGGTTGGAGTGGTGTTTTGCGTCGGCAGTGGGTGGCATCCCCCACTGATGGGTCTTCTTGCTTCGGTCAATAGAAAAGAGGGAAGGAACGGAGGCGATGGTTGGTTGTCGGAATTCCTTAGCAGCAGCTCGATGGTGGCTGTGGGTAGTCCTTGGTGGCTGCTAGTCACGGTCCAAGGGGAAGGGTGGAGGTTGGTGATCGATTGTTGAAACAGGAAAGGGAAGGAGGGACCTGGTGGTGGTTCTTAACTGTAATAGTGGGAGATTGTATTGTGGGTTTATGGTGTGATTTGATGATTATTGCTGGTGGTTCATAGTGGTGGAGAGGTGGTGCTAATGGTGGTATTTCAGGACTAAGGTTGTGAGGATTTAGAGGGATGTGTCATCTTATGTAAGTCAATACAATATCACATGAAAATGGTGGTGGGCGTGGTTAGTCCAAGGAAGATGCAAACAAGGATTTGAACAAGTTTCATCCATTTGTGTATAACACTTCTGGTCAAGTGACAAAAGCAACTTACTGCACAGGCTTGTTGGAGAGGTTTGACTTTCAGATCCAAATTAAAGAGAGAGAGAGAGAGAGAGAGATTTGTGGGCCCCTCTTATTATTTTTAATTATTAAAATGTAAAAATATGTGAGCTGTCATAAGGGTAACCGGGTTACCCATTCGTTTTCTTAAAAAAGACATTTTAGACCCGACACAACCAACTTTGTTCTCTTAAAAGACACATAAATAACATTAGAGACTGAATGAGTCAACCCTAAAAAGTTGGTGGGTTATATGTGTCATTTTCCCTTTATTTTAATGAGAAAAGGTGAACAATAAACATGAGAAAGCCTTAATTTATTTATAAACAAATGTATCCATATTACAATTTTGATTAGGGACCATATTGACAAATTAATAGAAAGCAAAAACAGATCAAATAAGCTAAATTAGTTTTAAAAAAAAAATCTTTAAATAATTATAAATTATAATTTTTGTTCAACAAATATATCTTAAAATGAATAGGAGTCATCTGGTAGGTTTGGTGCCTAATAGGATTTCACCATCTTCATAACTAAAAGTAGACAATCAAAATTAGGGCTTACAACCAAATACTTTAACTATCGTCTAATTGAATCAATGTCGTGGCCTCCCACATCGGTGGTTTGTACACTATCCTTTTGAGTTTATATTGCTTCGCCTTCGAGTATAGTTCGTCCCTTCGCGGACATCTGATAAAATTGGAACGATACAGATAAGATTAACATGGCCCCTGCGCAAGGATGACACGCACAAATCGAATTGTAATTATTATTTGTAATTATTTAAAAAGTGTCGGTAGTAGTGTCGGTTATGAATTATATCATGATCAATTCTACGCATCATTCAGGTATAACCATCAAATCCATCCTAAATCTATTAATTTTAGAGCAAGGTATAGTTCTTATTATGAATTCTCATCATTATTTGTCATGCATCGTCATCATAAGTTTAATATTAAAAGCAATCACACCTATCAACGTCTTATTCAAATCTATGATTTTTAATCATAACTTTGATAGAAAACAAAACTAAAACTAAAACTATCGTTTTCTTAAAATTAAAATCATGAGTTTTCCAAGTCTTAATTTTAATAAACTAGAATTATTTTTTTTTCGTAAAACAATAAAACAATTATTTTTTTTTTAATTTAAAAGCAAATTCTAACATATCACTAATTAATACTATATCTAATATTGAAGCAATACATATAGTAGATAATAGTATAAATTGGCAACAAGAACAAATAAAAAATATTGAAGATAAGATAACAAAACTAATTTATATATATATATATATATATATATATATATATATATATATATATATATATATATATATATATATATATATATATATATATATATATATATATATATATATATATAGAAGTAAGTTCAAATAAAAACAGTAAATAGTGTGAGAACGTAAAAACACTATGTTTATGTTATTATTCTGTAATGAATTTTGTATATGTGTATTGTTGAAGTAATTCTAATATAAATATTAACTTTCGATTAGTCATATATTCATTACAATGTTATTATTCTATTATAAACTTATATATGTGTATTTTTGTAATAAATTCTAATTTTAATTTTAACCTTTAACTATTCGTTTATTCTTTGCTGAATAATGACATAAAGTTGTCGATACAAAATTCATTGCAGAATAATAACATAAAAAAGTGTTTTTACGTTCTCACACTATTTACTGTTTTTATTTGAACTGTTCCATATATATATATATATATATATATATATATATATATATATATATATATATATATATATATATATATATATATATATATATATATATATATATATATATATATCAATTATTAAAAGGGTTGGTGAACAGGAAAGTTTGGGAGTTCAGAGGTTGGCCACACGACTTCTTGGATTCACAATTTGACCACGAAAGTTTTATTTGTGCCCTCATTTTAATAATTCAGCATATCCCACCGCCTCTTCTTGGACTCACCGTCATCGCCTTCCAATGGGATGGGATGCCTTCTCCTGCTTTCCTTTTAACTCTATTCCTTCTTGATCCCTTCTTACTTCCGTCCTTCTAATTTCGTTTTTCATCGCTCTACAAAATCTGGACGACCGCCATACGGATTGCTGCTTCACTACCTCTCTTTTACCCAATAACAAAATCCGTTGTCTGAAATCTGACCATATCGTTCTGAGCTTCGATTAGCTGCTGATGGAACGCAGGGCAGATGCAGGATTTCACAGTAGGGGTTGCACGGGAAAGTTAGGGTCGCACGATAATAGAAAAAATAAAAATTTTAGAAAATTTTCGAAAATTTTTCGACTGCGGCCGAAAAAGTGTCGTCTCCAAACCTTGCTACAATAGACCTGACGGACCCGACCATGGAGCTTGTGTCCGACGTGTCTGTAACACCGGTGGCGAGGCTACCATAACCCCTATCGTATACCTTGTCAGGTACCTTTCTCTCATAACTTTTATAAATTCACTAATTTTCTTTTCTTAAAACCTAATTACACTCTATTTCCACTTTTTCCAGTAAATTTGAAGATATTGAACATGTTATAATTTGGATTTTGTTTTGGCAGGATTTGAAAAAAAGAAGGTCTGAGAGAGAAAGCAGATCACGTAAGCCTCCTCATGCCTTCCCCCTCTTCTGTATTTTTATTTTTAACCTATCTTGATATAAAGAAATACATTTTTGAATTATAGGTCCATCTATGTTGTAGAGAAACGAAAATTGGAATGTCCAAACAGGAACTGATACATTGTTCAAAGAATTTGTTATTACTTGTAATTGTATTTCGTTTTGCGCACCAGGTGTTCGATAAAATGCCCGACTCAACTTTTTTTTTTAATAGAGGCGCGGATTAGGAGAGCCAGTGTGTTGTAAGATGCTGACGTTGGAGCTTTAAGGTTTCAATCCAGCTTTTTCTATAATTATTGTAATATTCATCTATTATGGATCTTTTTATTTTGTTTTTTTTCATACTCAACTGTATGCTTCTTTAGTTTTTCTTTTTCATAAAAGTTGTGAGGCAGTAATATCTCAAGAAAAGAGGGTTGAAGAAATTAGAGGATGTCAGGTAATCTTTTTGTTTAACATATAGTCAAACGTTAGTTTGAACCGAAAGTTATATTTGCAAAAAGAATGGTGACATTTTTTAACATATAATCAAAGGTTTGTTTGAACTGTATGCTTCTTTAATTTTTCTTTTTCATCACAACTAATCTTTTTTATATCTCTATCTGTGTGTGTTTGTGTAAATGTCTAATAGTATATGTATATTTTCAGGTCCTGAATGGATTGTTGATTTCCTCTTTCTCTGATTTTTGTCCACCTATTGATTTTGTTTCATGTTTGGTTTTCTCCACGACGGTAGATTGTTGTGCCGACAGTACCTTTATTCTTCCTTCATTTTCTAATCGTAAATATCACATACAAATCAGTATCTTCTCCGTAATTTTTGATCAAAACTTCTTTACTTGATGAAATACACTGACTTGTAGAACAACAAAATTTCACCTGATTTATTTAATTGAGACTAATTAATTGGAAGTTAAATTTATTTTGAAATTGGTTGATGTGATTCGACAACAGGTACATGGAAAGCAATGGAAGCACTTTGAGATACACAAGTATGTTGTGGACATATGTGAATACATCTGACATGGAACGAGCTGAGAAGTGCTTTAGAAGGATGAAGACAGATGAACTTCAACCGAATGTTGTTACATATCGGACTCTAAGGTAAATATGTCTTGATTTTCCTGGTCGAAGGAATTGGATCTGTAATTATGTTAAATGGTTAAATTACCCCATGCGGAAGCCATCCCTTTGTGCTACTTTAAAGTGAAATAATGATCTTGGCCTCTATTTCTATGCTTTTCCCCTTGCAGGGAAGGTATGAGGGCACGTGCAGTGGTGGCCTTTTACATATAAGAGACCATGATATATGCATAAGTACATCTTTTTTGTTATGACGGAATGAAGGTAGGAATGGAATTGTTCATTTCGTTGCCAAATGGAATGGAATAGACCATTCCGTTCTCCGTGTTTTGTTAATTTTTCGTTGTTTACTAAGTAAATGTTTTTTTTTTCTTTTTCTTTTTCATTCTATCATGGAACGTAATGGATAATTACAACGTAAACAAATTCTATTTATATAACTTTTAATGCCATTTCCAATAAATTATTTCTAGCTTTTTGTTTCCAAACATTATTCAAACCAGCGCCAACGGCACAACCAAATTCCTTCTAGTTTGTTAATTATGTCTCAAGAAATAGAAAATTCACCAATAATTATTAATAACGAAGAAAATGAATTTGGATACACATTTGATGCTCTAATAAATAAAAACAATATTAATAAAGATGCTATACGAAAAACAAATTTTACATTATCAGAAAAACATAATTTTAAGTATCACACGTTATAAAATTTATTTTCTAGAAAAAATATAATATATTATGGAAAAATTATAAGAGAAGAACATATTCGTATAGAATCAACTCAAAGAAATATTATTATACCCATTATAAATAAACAACAAATAAGAAATCGATTATCTAATATTAAAGAAGTATATAGAATAAAAATTGCTTATATTCATATATCAACAATTCAAGTAATTTTAAAAAGTACTTTTAATGATTTAGATACTCCATTAGAATTAGAAATTAGAGATAATCGTATAATTAATGATCAAGAAAGTATTATTCCAAAAGGAAAATGTAATCTAATTGAAGGAAAAATAAAATTTAATATCAATATTCAACTAGGCTTAAAGATGAAAATTTAAGTAATAGTATTACCGTACGATATAAATTATTAACACAAAATTTAATGTTAAAAGGTAATCATCCGTTTACTATTACATATCAAATAAATTATGCGTTAACAAATTCTCATCATAGTATTACATTTAAAACAGAAGATAGAATTTGTATTGATAAATTATTTACCCCTTTATTATCCCTTGAATCACCAAATATGACTAATAATAGAATATTTAATGAAGCTAATTTTCAACCAATAATAATTACGCCTTTAATAAAAAGAAATTCAATAATAGAACCTCCAATTTCAACCATAATAGGTAAATCCTCTATCTCGGAAAATCAACCTACAACATCTACCGAAAATAAAGATGATAAATTAGAAGATATTAAAGAAATGATTAAATCATTAAGTTTAAGAAGATGAAAAACCTCCAAGGTTTTGTTCGAGTGAAAAAGGTATCATATCTATTAGAACTGTCAGATGAATTGAGGTGGATTCACAACACTTTGTTATGTGTCTCAGTTTCGAAAATGTATGGTGAGTAAAAAAGCAGTGGTTTCATTTGAAGGATTTCAGAATTTCGTGCGGCTTAATTACGTTGGAAGGGCGGTGGTTATTCTGGAGAGGAAGGAAAAGATTTTGCATAACAAAGAAGGTAGGTTAATAGAAGTTTAGTGATAACCTTGTAAGGTTCCGAATGAACCTGGGAGCAGAATATGGATACGTGAATACATTATCCAGGGTTGTTTGCGGGCGGTGACTTCAGGGTTGTTTACTAGCGGTGACTTCGAGGACGAAGTCTGATTTAAATGAGGGAGAGTTGTAACGCCCCGTTTTCCGTTTAATTATTTAATATAAAGATATAATTATAAACACAAATAATTAAATAAGTTTAATGATAATTAATAATAATGAAAATAAATAAATAAATAAATAAGAAATGATTATTTGAGAGAATTAGAATCATATTTCAAATAAGGGACTAAAAGGGGGTCAAAGTTAAAACCTTCTATTGCAAGAAAAATTACATTGAGGGACTAATAGCGCCATTATGGCAAACTTAAGGGTAAAATATGAAAACTCGAAAATCACAGCCATGAGACCCACGAAATCTGTTTTGGGCTGTGAAATTTTTATGTCCACTCCTTGAATACATGTGCCCTTGTATTAATTCAACTCTAAAAGTCCAAAAACTAAATATTAGTTTTGTGTGTACGTGTTTGGGGTTTTTGGCGGCCAAACATAGAGAAAACGCGAGGGAGAAAGGAGTTTGATCGGAAAGGAAGGGAAAAAGGAGGAAGGAAGTTGAGATCGACGAGGAAGAGAAGGGCGCTTGGTGGTGTCGATTTCTACTCAAGTAAGTGTTGGATTAAAAAAAACCTTTCTTTTCCTTCTCTTCATTCGAAACCACCACCACCACCTTGGGGGTGGCATTGGCTGACATAGATGCCTCCAAAGAATCATGGAATATTCGTGTTCAAGTTGTCATGATTTGGAAACAGACATAAAAAAACAACCCAAACATGGTCAGCAGCTTAGACATGATTTTAATAGACTAGGAGGTAAGATTAAAATAATATGAAAAAACTTATCTTTTATTTTTGTTTCATAAAATAATATTCTTTATCACCTACAGGGCACTAAAATACATGCAACAATCAAAAAAAATCTCATAAATGCATTTCAAGCCATTTGATTTCTTTGATTGATTTCAACCCTTAGATCGTTCTTAATATTTCTGGTGATGTCATCCTAACAAAACAATTCACTATTTATTTTCATCTATCATAACTATTTCCCATGTTCAAATCGAAAAATCAGCCACCAAAAGACGGGAACTAACCTAACCATCAACATTATCCAAATTTTAAATTTTAAAAAATAATCCTAAAATGTTCTACATTATCTAACCTAACTACATTTTGAAATTCAACATTTAAGGGATAAGATAAAAATGACTTTTATCTTATCCCTCCAAAACCAACTTGGATTCAATACATATATATGACATATTCCGCCAAAACTCATTTTTGTTTTTCCTTCCACGCTCCTGCAAAAGGTGGGATTTTATTGTGTTTTATCTACGTTTTTACATCTTCATTTATATTGATATTCACGATAATAAATCAATACTTCTTCCTTTCTATAGCCTTCTATAGCAGTAAAGAATTGTTAGATTGGTTAATCAAAGGCAAAAAGGTACGCATTTCATTGTTTATCAATACTTCTTCCTTTCTACAGCCTTCTATATGATAAGTGTTCATACTTATTTTTTTTTGCTTTGTTGTTTTCTGTGAAATATATCAATATACTATGTATGTTTTGATTTGATACCATCCTACTTCCATTAATCCATAATTGCAGCCAACTATTATTTTGCAAAATACAATTAATGTTTTTTTTTGTTTTTTTTTTCATGGTTAAGTATGCCAACCAAGAATGTCTATGTTAATTGAACAACATTATATTTACATTAAACAAAAACCTTGTGAATCTTTGAATTACTTTTTTCACTATATCTCATAATTATCTCTAATACTTTTCTATTTCTCATAGCACAAGCGAAATGACACATAACAGTGACAGTAAAATCGTCATTGATAAGCTGGCTGACATAGATGCCTCTGAAGAATCATGGAATATTCGTGTTCAAGTTGTCATGATTTGGAAACAGACATACAAAAACAAACCGTACATGGTCAGCAGCTTGGACATGATTTTAATAGACCAGAAGATAAGATTAAAATAATATGAAAAAACTTATGTTTTATTTTTGTTTCATATAATAATATTCTTTATCACCTACATGGCACTAGAATACATGCAACAATAAAAAAATCTCATAAATACATTTCAAGCCCTTGGCTTTCTTTGATTGATTTCAACCCTTAGATCGTTCTTAATATTTCTGGTGATGTCATCCTAACAAAACAATTCACTATTTATTTCCGTCTATCATAACTACTTCCCATATTCAAATCGAAAAATCAACCACCAAAGACGGGAACTTAACTAACCATCAACATTATCCAAATTTTAAATTTTAGAAAATAATCCTAAAATGTTCTACATTATCTATCCTAACTACATTTTGAAATTCAACATTTAAGGGATAAGATAAAAATGACTTTTATCTTATCCCTCCAAAACCAACTTGGATTCAATACATATATGACATATTCCGCCAAAACCCATTTTAATTTTTCCTTCCACGCTCGTGCAAAGGTAGGTTTTTATTGTGTTTTATCTATGTTTTTACATCTTCGTTTATATTGATATTCACGATACTAAATAAATATTTCTTCCTTTCTACACCCTTCTATAACAGTAAACAATTGTTAGCTTGGTTAATCAAAGGCAAAAAGGTACGCATTTCATCGTTTATCAATACGTCTTCCTTTCTACAGCCTTCTATATGATAAGTGTTCATACTCATTATTTTTTGCTTTGTTGTTTTCTGTGAAATATATCAACATACTATGCATGTTTTGATTTGATACCATCCTACTTCCATTAATCCATAATTGCAGCCAACTATTATTTTGCAAAATACAATTAATGTTTCTTTTTGTTTTTTTCATGGTTAAGTATGCCAACCACGAATGTCTGTGTTAATTGAACAACATCATATTTACATTAAACAAAAACCTTGTGAATCTTTGAATTACCTTTTTCACTATATCTCATAATTATCTCTAATACTTTTCTATTTCTCAGAGCACAAGCAAAATGACACATAACAGTGACAGTGAAATCGTCATTAATAAGCTGGCTGACATAGATGCCTCCAAAGAATCATGGAATATTCGTGTTCAAGTTGTCATGATTTGGAAACAGACATACAAAAACAACCCAAACATGGTCAGCAACTTGGACATGATTTTAATAGACCAGGAGGTAAGATTAAAATAATATGAAAAAAACTTATGTTTTATTTTTGTTTCATATAATAATATTTTTTATCACCTACAGGGCACTAGAATACATGCAACAATCAAAAAAATCTCATAAATGCATTTCAAGCTCTTGGATTTCTTTGATTGATTTCAACCCTTAGATCGTTCTTAATATTTCAGGTGATGTCATCCTAACAAAACAATTCACTATTTATTCCCATCTAGCATAACTACTTCCCATATTCAAATCGAAAAATCAGCCACCAAAGACGGGAACTTAACTAACCATCAACATTATCCAAATTTTAAATTTTAAAAAGTAATCCTAAAATGTTCTACATTATCTATCCTAACTACATTTTGAAATTCAACATTTAAGGGATAAGATAAAAATGACTTTTATCTTATCCCTCCAAAACCAACTTGGATTCAATACATATATATGGCGTATTCTGCCAAAACCCATTTTTATTTTTCCTTCCACGCTCCTGCAAAAGGTGGGTTTTTATTGTGTTTTATCTATGTTTTTACATCTTCGTTTATATTGATATTCACGATACTAAATCAATACTTCTTCCTTTCTACATCCTTCTATAGCAGTAAACAATTGTTAGCTTGGTTAATCAAAGGCAAAAAGGTACGCATTTCATTGTTTATCAATACGTCTTCCTTTCTACAGCCTTCTATATGATAAGTGTTCATACTCATTTTTTTTGCTTTGTTGTTTTCTGTGAAATATGTAAACATACTATGTATGTTTTGATTTGATACCATCATATTTCTGTTAATTTATAATTGCAACCAACTATTATTTTGCAAAATACAATTAATGTTTATTTTTGTTTTTTTCATGGTTAAGTATGCCAAGCAAAAATGTCTATGTTAATTGAACAACATCATATTTACATTAAACAAAAACCTTATGAATCTTTGAATTACTTTTTTCACTATATCTCATAATTATCTCTAATACTTTTCTATTTCTCAGAGCACAAGCGAAATTGCACATAACAGTGACAGTGAAATCGTCATTGATAAGCTGGCTGACATAGATGCCTCTAAAGAATCATGTAATATTCGTGTTCAAGTTGTCATGATTTGGAAACACACATACAAAAACAACCCAAACATGGTCAGCAGGTTTGACATCATTTTGATGGACCAGGAGGTAAGATCAAAATAATATGAAAAAAACTTATGTTTTATTTTTGTTTCATATAATAATATTCTTTATCACCTACAGGTCACTAGAATACATGCAACAACCAAAAAAAATCTCATAAATGCATTTCAAGCCCTCCTGGAAGGAGCTATAAGGCAAATCACTAACTTTGGCATGGCCAGAAACGAAGGAGATTACATGTTGGTTGCTCACAAGCATAAGATAAATTTCTACAAAACAACCACAATTTCATGATCTGACAGCTAGAAATTTTGACACTCGTGTTGCATTTGGTGAGCTTTTTTCCCTTAACTGTTTTGCATTTATTATATTATATATTTTTTTAACCAATTTATATTATAATAATTGATTCAAATTTACTTTTTGTAGATTTTATTGGTCAAGTTGTATCTACTGAACCCATGAGAGTGATTAAGGAGAATGCAAGGGAAACAAGGCTAATGAGTATTGTTGCACAAGATCTGAGGTACTTTTCTTTATTTTTCATTAATTTATCATGTTTAATATTTTATTCATATAACCCAAACAATCAATTATAGTCGTAGGAAAATGCAAGTTGCTTTGTGGGATGGTTTTGCATTGAAGTTGAACAACTACATATCTGAACATCAAAATGAAAATTCTCTTGTGATCATCCTCCTACGTATGGTAAAGCTCAAGACTTGGGGTGGTAAGAATAATTATTTTTAGATTTCTATGCTCATTACATTAATATTTTATTTATAATATGAAATAATCTATTACTTCAATTGCTATTTTATAAGTCAGCCACAAGTCGGTAACTGTTTATTTGGGTCGAGATTGCATATTAATGATGATATGCATCATATTTTCAGAATTTAAAAAGGCGTATGTATTTGATGACTATGATATAATTATTTATTGTTTTATTTTTCCTTATTCTTAATCAATAATTATTATTATTGTTGATCTTCTTCATTTTTCCTTCTTATATGTAGCATTGCTGATATCGATTTGAATGTTGAGTCTTCCATTAATACTACACAACTTAACACAGAAACTGTTGTGGCCAAGCCAGAAGACTACTACCTCCGTTTTCAAATCAAAAACATTGATGATATTCTAGATTACAATGAGGTATACTTAATATTATTCATATTTTTCCATTATATATAACAATTTTTTTAATGTGTGTTTGTGTGTGTGTGTATATATATATATATATATATATATATATATATATATATGTGTGTGTATTTTTACCAATCAGGAAATTGGTTTGTCTATCATTGCTACAATAATCGGTTTCGATTTGGAGGAAGGATGATATTCTTTTTATTGCCGTGACTGTTCAAAAAGGGTAACTACAAATGGTGATGATAGTGATGGTGAACCATTTAATTATAATGGTTGCGGAGGAGTTTTTGATGTATTCGGCAAGTAAGTTCATAATTTTACATTTGTAAACTTCTTGTCTCATGAATCTTTATTACAATGTTTCAATTTTTATTTCATTGTCCATTAAGGTATCATACAATAATATTTAGGGTAAGGGTTGTAATACATGTTCAAGATGAAACTGGGTCTGCTTCTTTTGTATTGTTTTGACCGTCATGTTAAAGATCTTATTCACCGCGGTAATCATTGGTTGATGGAAAATATATCAAAGGTCGCGTTATATTATAGTATTCTATTAATTTGTACACACGACAAGTTAACTGTATATTGTTATTGCATTTTATTTTAATCGGGATTTATTAACTACTCACATGTTTTATAATAATATTCTTTAGGATCAAGGACGCCAAAAGATCCCCGATGAGTTTAATACGATGCTTAATAGGAAGTTTGTTTTTAAAGTTCAGATTTCAAAGTTTAATCTCGAGAACAATTATCACGCCTACACCGTTCATAAGATGGCTGATGATGAACTTGTAGTTGGTGCAGTTTTCAACATTCACCTGCATACGAAGAAAACAATATTCATTCTGATGGTACTCCTATCAACAAGTCTATTAAGGTAAAATTAAATTCATATAATTTAGAATTTTAACATTGTTAATAAACATTTATTCTTGATGCGGTGACAACATTAATGTTGTTAATTAACATTGTTTTATTAATTTGATACAGGAAAAGAGTGTTTCTGTTGAAGGTGACAATATTAATGTTGTTGATCTTGATGCGGTGACACCGACAACTACTTCACTGAAACGCCCTATTGAGATTATTACCACCACTGAATCGTTTGAATGGTCTTCCTCAAAAGATGGTGTTGCTCCTCATACCCTTAAGATTCCAAAAATGGAAAAACTAGAATAAATTTAGCAGTTATGATTATTTGACATTTATCATTGACGATTTTTCTTTCTGGTGGTAGGATAGCGCATTCAAGATTTCATATACCAATTAACTTGAATGAGAAACCGTTTTGTTCTATTACGCCAGGTAACGATGTAGCTGCCCTGTTGAACAAAGCGAGCCTTATAATTTGGGACGAAGCTCCAATGATGCATCGTCATTGTTTCGAAGCAGTTGATAGGACACTTAGAGATATTATCCTTCCTAAGAGCAATGATAAACCATTTGGAGGCAAGACCATTGTATTTGGAGGTGACTTTTGACAAATTCTTCCAGTAATACAAAGAGGAAATCGTTCAGATATTGTGCAGGCATGATTGCATTCATCAAGATTATGGCATGAATGTACAGTTTTATGTTTGACTGTAAACATGAGGCTTCAGTTCAGTTGTCCAAACAATGATTTCGAAGAGACAAAATCACTTGTTGATTGTATTCTTAAAATTTGTGAAGGTACTATCAGTGGTCCTAATGATGGTGAAGTTGAAGTTGAATTTCCAAAAGATGTGATCGTTCCCTCTACGGGTGACCATATTCATTCAATTGTATCCTGCATTTATTCATCTTTTCAGAACAATCTTGATGATCCATCATATTTTCAAGATAAAGCTATTTTGGTCCGTACTAATGAAGAAGTTGATGCTATCAACGACTACATGTTAGAATTGATGAAAGATGAAGAGAAAACACATCTGAGTTCAGATTCCTTATGTAAGACCGAGATAGAAGATTCTTTTGAGGAATCAGTATACTCTCCCGATGTGTTGAACGCTTTTAAGGCCTCTGGAATTCCCAACCATAAACTTACACTAAAAAAAGGTGTTCCGGTCATGTTGCTTCGTAATATCGACCAAACCAGAGGACTATGCAATGGTACTAGATTAAAAATCGTAAGGCTTGGAAGACACGTCCACGAATCATATCTGGTAGATTTTTCAACGAGACTACTTATATACCTCGCATGAAGTTGACCCCATCCGATAAAAAAATTCCATTATGTTTTTAACGTAGGTAATTCCCAATAGCCGTTTGTTTCGCTATGACCATTAACAAAAGTCAAGGACAGTCATTATCAAATGTTGGATTGCGTAGACCTATCTTCACACATGGCCAGTTATATGTAGCTGTTTCTCGTGTAACAAGCAAAAAAGGTTTGAAGGTACTCATATATGACGAGGAAGGTCGTTCAACTAATAAAACAAAAAACGTTGTCTACAAAGAGGTCCTGCAACGTTTATAGTTATTTATCGATTTCAGTGTTTCTTCTTCACCTTTCAATAATAACAATAGCCATAAACTTTCTTTTATATTCTTATGCAATATATATAAATGTTTTGGTAATTTTTTTAATACGTTCCCCAGCGTTTAATGCGGGTTATAATCTAGTTTATGTATAAATCTGGGAAAAAAAAGTAACCAATGAGTCATTATACTTTTGAGATATCAAAGGACCATAACTTAACTCTATTTTCTATTATTAGGAAGCTTGAAGGTTGACCTGGTGTAAATGGGTGTCTCGGGCTACTTTGGAGAGTGTTTTGCTATTGGAGGTGAGTTCTTCACTTCATAACCTTACACCCCGTTCCCGAGTTCAACTTAACGATAGAAAGGAAAGGAAATGAGTGGAAATGAGAAGAAAATAAAAGAGATTGGTGTTCCCGAGTTTCATTAAAGGATGGAAGTGGAAGGAAGTAGAGGGAAATGGGAGGATCACTTTCCATCCTAACTTTCCTTCCGATTTGGGAGGATTTGGAAAGAAAGAACAAAATGATTCATTTTCTTTCCACTTCTCTTCAACTCGGGAACACGAAAGAAAATTTTGTTTTCCTTTTCTTTCTCTTCTTTTATCTCGTGACTTTCTTTTCTCTTCTTTTCTTTTCTTTTGGTAAACTCGGGAACGAGGCCTTAGAGTATTATATGCCTACTATTAGGTCGGGTGAGACTAAGAACTATATGGTTGATAGGAAAGTAATACTTGTTGCATTAGTTATATTCAATGTACTTATTTGTTATGTGGAATGTATATGCATGATATGTTTGGGCTTGACGGCTGAATACCGAGTCGATATGTTTGGGCTCGACGGCTGAATACCGAGTCGATGACTGAAGGCCTTGTGCTGAGTCAGACTGACTGAAGGCCATAGTGCTGAGTCAGGGGGACTGAAGGCGGAAACGCTGAGTCCGTGGACTTGAAGGCTGAATACCAAGTCCTTATATGGGTGTTGTTTGGGATGTGTTCCCAAATATACACGAGTCGTATGATCTTGATGTTTATGCTATATGAATGCTTGTATGTTTAATAATGGCATGGAATGTAGGAGTATGGTGTAATACATCTATTGTTATGTTGTGTTGGTATTCACTAAGCTTCGTGCTTACCCTTTCCTTTATAAAATGATTATTACAGGTACATCATGTATGAAAGAGGGTTTAGCTTGATTGTACACCGGTGCGGTTGAAGATTGGGTCCTTGTCACAGACTCTTGAATTGGGATTTTAACACCATTAATTTTCCGCTGTTGTTGTGAAATATAAAAGGATTACTATTGTTGAAAGAATGTTTTGATTTTGACATGTTACTTGAATACTTGAAACATAACGGTTTTGGTTAATTAATGGATTTAATGGTTTTTATTATAGTTATAAATGTTTTCAAAAGTTTAAATTTATTGTAATTTTCGGGACGTTACAAGTTGGTATCAGAGCACAACTTGAGTGAATCAAACACATCTCACTGTGTTTGAAATCAAGTTTGCGGCTTGGAAATATTTTCTTTAAAAAATTTGTAAAAGAAAAAGGAAAATTTTGGTGACAAGGATCGGGGACGCACCGTGTATAGTCAGCTGAAGCCAAAGGAAAAGGATTTAATTGTTTGATGTAAATTATTGCTTTCTAGAACATAAGATGTATGTGTACTAAATAGCTTATTACTTTCATGCCATGTTGAAACGCCTACTATATGTCACTTGGAATTTATTCTAGCACTGATAGCTTGTTTAGTGAATGCTTTAGGTTGTATGAAATAGGAGCCAAATAGACTTAGAATGCCTGATTTAGCCTAGTGCCCAGCTCTTGTTTGAGTCCAGCCGTTCTGGCGCGGAATTCGATATTCAAATGACTATCTGGATTCACGTTGTGTACGATTGTGCATTCATTTGGCGACATGTCAGTGCCGGAGGAGCTTCTTGTGGATTAGAGTTGATGAATGAAAATGAAGTCATTACACTAGGAAAGGATATAAATTGCTAGTGTAAAGATTATATTTGATAGAAATTGACGGCAAGGAGCGAATTGGACAATCTAGAATGGATCTCGAAACGAACATGCATAGGTGTGAAAGATAGTAGTAGAGCTCCTACTATCTGAAGCACAAGATCCATGTTCGGGTCGGGAGAAGTCACGGAAGGTCCAAGGAGCTGAGAGTGGTAATATTGTTATGATTATTGGTGTATTAATAAATTGTAGCAATCTTAAGTCTTCCTATTCGATAGAGGATGGTGACTATGAGATCCATACGATGGGATATGTTACTGAACAAAGTGTCGATGAGATACTTGAGATAATTGTGATAGTGATGTTGTATGAAATTGGAAATGACAGAAGAGGATAACAGTGAGCGAGTACGTAGAGAGTATTGTAATGATAACACTTTGAATACATGGTGATGAGTTATGTTTATATTAAACAGAATGTCGACTACGTGTCTTGGAGCGGAGAGTTTAAGGATTTGCTTAGACACCATATCACTGAATGACTGAATTTATACTGAGATCTTGCAGATCTTACTAGAAGAGTTGCATGGTATCATTAAGCAAATTACTGATAAGCCGACAAGTTAATCTGATAGGTTGGTTGGCAGGTTTGAAAAGTAGATTGCAGGTATGCATACTAGTAATAAGAGTGTTCAGGCGATTATGAAAGAGAGACCTTGGATTAGAGATACAGCTGGGAAAGAGAAAACGGGCGTGGGGCCCGACTCTGCTGACAAGTATCAAGAAGTTTTGTCGATGTTCTGCCAAGAAGGGGATGTTAGAAGAACCACAACATCTGGGGTAAGTGTGGAAGAACCCTCGTGTTCGTGTGGTGCAAGTTCAAATGCGGTAGGTATGAACGGAAGGGACATGCTCGCCAGGACTGCTCAGTGGAGGTGGATTTATTACTTGGTTACACTAGGTACAAATGCACATGTTTAGAGATAGGGGTAACATAGGTCCTGGTATCTGTGGTTTGCAAGAAGTCAAGGCAAGGCCTCAAGACATAGTATGTATGTATTCTCCGTGCTTTATGTTGTCGTCATCATATCGTTGTTACATAAGTTTGGGTATATATGACATGCTATGTACTAGTTATAGAGTGACTATGTTCGGGAAGTTTCATGAGGAGGTCTACGTAGCCTCGGAGATTCGTTACTCGACCGCCTTACTGATTACGAATAGTAGTTATTCAACTCGTTTATATCTTGTGCTTTGACGATTAGTTGGTTCGTGATTTTTTGAAATCTAATCCATTCCCTTGTTGTTGAGATTGTCGATGATAGGACGGTGACGGTTACCTATGGTTACTGAGTGTGTACTTTAGAGGTCCTTGGAAGGAGGTTACCGGTTGTTTTATTAGTGATGCAGGAGTTACGCGTAATAACGTAAATAGTTGGATGGGCAGGTTGGTGCTGGGATTGTTTATCTTCACAAACAAGTACGGGTTCGGACCCAAGTACGGGAGAACCATCGATTAAAAGTGATACCTTAGTCAGAGTATGACAATATGTGTGACCATAGGGCTAGTTACCCGTTGTGTTACATTGTAGAGTATTTTGCTGTTAGGAAGAATACATATGGTGACAAAGAATAAAGGGTGGTTAAGAAAGGAGCAAACCGTTTGAGAGTTTCGTGGGTGTTTCCTTTGAATATTTGTTGGGGGGTACCATCCGTGCATCAGATGGGTTTGTGTATTAGTTTGTTTTT